CGTATCACATAATTTTTATTACAAAACACATGTAGTTAACAGACTAATAATAATAATGATAATAATAATACTAATAATATTTATGATAATAAATTAACGCTGTGTACAGGTTTCGTGAATTTTTAACGTATGAACAACATACAATTATAAATTATAATAGAGAAACAATAAAATTGTATTAAAAATCATCCAATTTTACGAGTTTCAATTGACAATAATAATTAAATTGTTCAATATGAACGTACACATGATACATAAGACATTATACACTATAATACACTTAAGTGTATACAGGTTATATTTAACAAATGTTAAGATATTGCAGAATAAAAATATTAATTAACAGATAATAACCAAAAAATTGTTTTCTGTTCACAGACCAAACTTATATTGAGTTATAAATGAATATCAATAAATATTATATTAAATAAAAATAAGTATTTTATTGTATAGGTTTCGTTGGCGTACTCCGTGTCACTAAACTCATGTAACATACTGATTGCGATCAAGATTCGCGATCTTAAGTTTTGAGCAATTTAATTTTATCGTATCTTGTAAAATATATTTCCTGGTTTATTTATATCGTACAAAGTGTCCGAAATCGATTTTTATCAATTTATTTTCACCGTACAACATCTCCGTGGTATGCAACTCAAACAATAGATAGTACAAAGTGTCCGCTTACCCAACAAACTAGTACCCACTTGCCCACATTTTTTTTATTTACTCAGTTTATTAAAAAGATATAGTTACACTAGTTACAGTCAATCAAATTACCAACTTGAGTAAAGATAAGCTCTTTTTTAAAAACATTTATATTCAACAGATGGTTTAAAAAAAATACCGGTATTATAGTATCAAAAATATTCTGGCTATCTATTGGAAATAAGATGAACTAATTTGACGATTACATTTTAGATTTCTTAATGTGTATTACACACATAATATTAGTATAGTTGCTCATCGCTGTGTAATACATAGTTAATATTACTATACAGATTATGTGACACAATAAACCAGTACAGGTTCGGCTGACTGGATTAAAATATTCGCATAGAAACAACGCGAAGGGAAGGGTTGAACACATATCTGCAGACTTGTATATATAGTCCGCTGCCCGTGTCCAACAATCATCATTCAACAATACTGCTTCCAAAAAACAACACTCACCATGAAATTCGTAAGTACAATACTAAAACTCTGTGACGACTACTTAATTAGTTAACTAATAATATTCTAAAACAATTTAAAGTATAATTTTAAACGTTTTCGATTTTTTGTTCTTACAGGCAACAGCTCTGGTCACTTTGGCGGTCGTAGCCCTCGTCCGGGCCGACGCGTCCAGTGCCGACAAGAAGACAACGAAACACGAAAAGAGGAGCTTGGGCGGTTACGGCTCTGGATTAGGACTTTCCGGTCTCGGCTACAGCTCTGGACTCAGCTACGGCTCTGGTCTCGGCTACAGCTCTGGTCTCAGCCACGGCTCCAGTCTCGGCTACAGCTCCGGTCTTGGCTACGGCTCTGGTCTCGGCTATGGATCCGGTCTGGGCTACAGCTCCGGTTTGAAATACGGTTCCGGGCTGGGCTATAGCTCAGGTCTTGGATACGGTTCCGGTCTGAGCTCCGGCTACGGTCTGGGATACGGTTCCGGTCTTGGCTACGGTTCTGGTCTAGGATACTCCGCTGCCGCTCCCGCACCAACAACTGGCCCCATTGTTCCAATCTCCAAGGAAGTGCACATTATCAACCGACATGCCCAACCGGTGTCCGCCCCATACCCAGTGCCAGTAACTCATGACGTACCTGTACCTGTGCCACATGCAGTACCCTACCCGGTCGACAAACCATACCCAGTCCATGTGCCAGCCCCATATCCAGTTCCAGTCGAAAGGCCCGTCCCGTACGCAGTCGACAGACCTATTCCCCATCCAGTGCCATCACCTTACCCAGTCCCAGTTGTCCGTGACGTGCCAGTTCCAGTTTCCAAGCCGTACGCAGTTCCAGTAGTCAAACAAATCCCCGTTCCAGTGGCCACACCCGTCATCGTGCCCGCCGTCCACCACTCTGCACCATTGATCTCTTCCAGCTACAGCGCCGGACTTGAATCGTCTGCAATTGGATACGGTTCTGGTTACGGTTCCAGTTACGGTTCCGGATACGGTTCCAGCTACGGTTCCGGTTACGGACTTGGATCTTCCGCCATCGGTTACGGTGCTTCTTCATACGGTTCCGGTAGCCTGTACAGCGGATCTTTGGGATACAGCAGTGGAGGTCTGTCTTCATATGGACACGGCGCCCACAGTTTCGATTACAAGAAATAAAACACTCGAATGATCAATCTTGCCTATCTTGCAGCACTACACTGCATTGACGAAGATTATACTTAGGATTTATATTGTACCGTGTATATTGTGTATACACATATTATGTTCTTAGACAATTATTACAATTTTGTTTATATGTATTTTTAAATTTGTTAATAACCGATAGTTATTGACTGAAATTAAATAATAAATGTTTTTTATACTATACTTGTTTATTTTCATACTTTCAAAAAAATAAATTTTGAAATCACAATATTCCTTGAGACAATTTAAAAAATATTTATGTATTTTTCCTCATGTTCCAGAATAACACCTGAAATTATGTATTTAAAACACAATTTTTTTCAGCTAATTTTTTACTAACCATATACCTACTATTGCAAATAGTATTGCATCAACCATAGCAATTATGATACTAATACTCACTTATTAGTTATAGGTAGGTATAAAGTAAAAATTATATATTTTGTAGACTAAATTAAGTATAACGTCATCGCACTGGATCAAAAAAAAAAAAACTTCACCCAAATTGTCCAAATCGATGATTATTATTATTATTATTATAAGCAATTATTTGTTCTATTTTGGTACCTATATGGCTATATGAATTTCAACTTATAAATTATTACAAAAATAATATTATAAATTATACTTACATATTTTGTATATTGTATGGTATATATTTAAAGTATGATTTTAAAGATATTAAATAAATAAATTTTACAACCCTCAAACTAAAAATTAGATAAAACATAAGACATCGCATGACCACACGCTTGTAATTAAATTATAAACACAATAAATTTATGTTAGTGTCATAGTTATGAATCTAAAGGCTTTATGCAATTGTGGATACGATAAGGAACTTTATTTCATGTATGAAATTACGTATGTTCATGTTACGTGATTTATTTTTGATATAAAATATAAATTATTTTACATCGAAAAACCAATTTATATATTTTTTTTAAAAGACCTAATACAATATAAAAGTGCTATAGCATTACTCAATACTAAAAAAACCCTTTGGACGAATGCCGATTAACGTATAAATTACGTAAAATAGATTTTCTTATAAAAAGTTTATTGTAAAATAGTAATTTTCATTTAACATCATTTACCGTTACATATACATAATAAATAATTTATTATTTATAATTGACCATAACTGCTTAGACGCCTTTAATAGGTTTAATAGGTCACCGAACTATTATTTTCATTACATGTCTTATGTGTGTTTTGCATCGCACTACCAATATTACATTTTTCTTTTTAAATTATTATAATGTCTTATTTCTTCGTAAAGTTTTTTTTCTAGTTCGATTTCCTGAAAAATAACAAAAAATATTCATAATATTTAATTTTCACGATCAATTCAAAAGAATAATACTGTCCACGCTACTACTAAATTGAGAATAATAATTTTTATTGTTATTATCTTATTTTGACGGTGTTCGATAATATTAATAATGTTTTATTTTTTTTTTTTTTTAATAGATTATATTATCTTCAGAAACTGTGACCATTGGATTTTAAATTACAATCATTATTATTGTATAATTAAAATTACTGCAAGGTTACAACAATATATACAGTTATGCATTATATATTTATATACCACTGAATACGCTGGATACTCTTATGAGTAGTACCTTGATTAGGTATTAAATTAACGATTCGAATTGCATGTTGGAAATATTGGCTTAAACTTATCGTACAGGTTTTGCATTTAATTAGTTTAAATATAATGTGACTGAGACAGGGGGTGCTCTCCATTGGCTCAAATAGGAAGGAGCTTTGGAGGACTGAGTCTCCCCAATTCAAAATTGTATACTTAGTACCCTCATCTACTATCGTGTCTGAGTATTAGGCACTACTTACTGTTCGGTAGCTACTCTCCTCAATTTTTCATATAATGTTTATTAATTTTTTCATTATTCTAAGCTCATATAATATGCTTATTGCTTATTTTAGCTGTTATTACAGATTGTAATTTTTCTATTCATTTTAAGTCTTATTTAAAAAATATTATGGATTGGGACTTCCCCCTCTCCCCCAAAAAATTAGGCTTTTAGCGCAAATGAGTTCAATTCAAAGCCTATATACTGATGGAAGTTAATAACCAAACTGTCGAAAAAACATCAATGCCTATTTTTGTGGACACGTCATATCAAAGATAATAACGTTTTTGTCTACACACGAATACAAGTACCTACTGAGAAAATTAATAATTGATTTTTAATTGAGTAAAGTTTTATTGATTGAAATAATTAAAAAAAGTTTATTGTTAATAGTTACTTTATTTTTTTATAGAGATCTATCGATAAACACCGACAATTATACAATTATCTTACTGACTTGAGTAAAGTTTTCTTTCTTTATATATAAATAGCCAACAAAAATAGCATAACATAGATTACCGTTTGATATCAAAATAAATTATTACTATTAAATAATTCTGGATATTGGACACAAAAAGCAAATTTAAGAACTATATTGGTAATTTACTATTGTGCATCATCAAGAAATAATACATTTTAGTATAGGTATTTATTTATAAACAAACGTTACTTGGATTTGATTAAAAGAAACTCGTTATTTATTATGTATACCTCTATATTACATTAAAACCCATCAAGTTAAAATATTGAATTGCAAAAAAGTCCACCTTCAAATTTAACTTTTTAACTCGTCAATGCCCAGCATCGCCACACCCGCGATTTGCCGTACAACAATATTATATCGTTTGCGACTTACCGACTCGCCGGCGTGTAAATCAGCGACACGACTTTTGATCATCGTGATCAAAGCGGTCAAGTACGAGTGCCGGGCCGCCATGGCTTCGACAGACTGCGATATGGCGGGCGTCAACTCCACGCCGTCGACGTCGCCGGTCTTCGCGACGATATCGTTCTCGTTCCAGATCTCTCCGAGCTTCAGCGAATAATAGTGGTAAATGTGCGCCACGGTGGCCTTGTCCTGGAGATCGGACACCAGGCTGCAGGCCCGAATCGTGCTCTCCTCGATGTCGTTGTCGGGCTCGTCTCTGTACTGGTCCTGCAGCCGATAATCGTTTTCCGACTGGGCGAACTCCACCAGGTGCACGAGCAGATAGATCTTGGGCTGAGCGCACATGAACATGGACTCCACCGCCGGGCTGCACAAGCTGGCCAAGTTGATCGCAGTGGTCGCGTCCCGCTGCTCCTGGAACATGAACTCGTCGTCTGCAACGACGGTAGAGGTATAACGTTATTGGCGTTGTGACTTGTGGATCTACCGGGTTTTAATGTATTTAAGTGAATTGAATCTAAAATACCTTTTATATGATATAACTAATAACCCGGCGTTTTCAGGAAAAAAAATTATGATTGCTCAACTCCTAATACGCTGTGGAAGCAATGTCTTTTTAAGTGTAAACTATATCATATTTTAATGTATAGCCATATCGACAAGCGTGAGATTCGCTTGTGATTATGCCAGTAGCATATTATCAGGTATAGGATCGCGGACCCCGTGTGGTTTGTACGTAAGTGTATAATTTAACTCTAAACTCTAAATTCCAACCTACAGCCAGCGGGCCAGATCCAGCCCACCAAGGTTTTTGCACCAGCCCGCCAAGCTAATTAATGTTATGAAAATATGTATATTTAATAAATTATATTAATATTAATATATTAATTAATTAATACAAAATCCAATGAATAAAAAAAATACCAAACTATATTCGCGTATGTATAGATAAAGAAACAAAAAAAAATTGGTCCACCGAACCTGTGATTCGAAACTTAAGGTATTCTGTACTAAATTACAAATAGAAGTGTCACTGCGTCAACAGGCTTGTCACATTATTAGTAAACAATATTATTAAATCCAATAGCAAACATTTATAAACAAAAATTTACTTCGTAAATCTCAAAATCCTTGTTTGAGCACCTCCCCGAGTTGGACCTCTTATTTACCTTTTTTAAAGTATCTAGCCTATCTTCTTCTCAAATGTCTAATCTACCTCTGTACTAAATGTCATCCCAACTGAATGAAAGGTTTAGGAATGCATAAAGGACAGACATACAGACAAAAATTAATTCATATATAATATATAAATAGATGTAGGACGTAGGTATTATGTAATTTACAACTGAAAATAGGTAATGTTTTTTTTTTCATTTTTATGTTAAAATTAATTCAATATCGTTTTCGGTCATTATGTTCGTGTACGACTAGACGACGTCATTATTATGCAATCTATAATATAATCATATTATTATGTATACTTGGCCTTGACCTATAAAGTTAAACCGGACTATTTCGCGTCTCCAAATCTCACACACCGATTCCAGGTAGCCCTTTCCCGTCTTGGCAGACTTCCATTTCTTGATGTGACATTTGGCTGATTTGAATATGGCCAAATCCACAAGTGTCGTCAGAATCACGAGCTGTATGGGATATTTGGAAATCTGAAAATCAAGAGTGCCCTTTACATTATTTTACTCTCTAGGTATACGTTTGAGAATATGAGCATGCCGTATTTTTGTCGCTTTAGTGAACAAACGTTAATAATTTAACATGTTATTTTTTTGTTCATATAACAAAAACATAAATTAATAAAACTAAAGAAATTGTTTAATTTTTATGTACCGATATAATATTGGGGACAACGATGTCATCATGATACAATAATAATTAGTTATAAGAATATAATATTATATAGGTACCTGGTACAGTATAGGTACAGTATAGGCCCTAAGGGTACTTACGGTTAAAGCATTCAGTATGTGTTCTATTCCTTTGGCTTTTACAAACAGTTTGACTTGGTCGTTATAACGAATTATAGCGTTTTTAATGAAATGCAACAGATCCAATAGAATACTGAAAATACGGTTTCACGCCGTGCACGATTTAGTCGGCTTATATTACTTATAATATTTCACACATGCGAGAAACAAAATAATAAATATGATGACAATCGTACTTTTGGTTGATGTTTCTATCGACGTCCTCGGCAAAGTACAGTTCGAACATCCTCGTTACCATGTCAAATACCATCGGATGAGTTTCGGGATTCTGCTGGTTCTCTCGGAAAAACACGTTCAATGTATTCAACCCGTACAGACTAATGTCTTGAAAACCGTATTCTTGGAGTTTTAACGTATCCAGTATGACAGCTGCAACAATAAAAAAAAAAAAACCAGTACGGTTTAATATTATACGTCTTTAACGGACACTACTTGACTGAGAATTACAATTTATCAATGCGTCGGCTTTGAGAGTCTTAAACGTTCGAAGCATATCGTAATCGTCATTTGAAACGATTCCTATGCAAACTATAGCGTTGACCATGGTGCAGGAAAAACTTTTTTTATTTTTCAATGACTTAATCAAAGCCACTAATCTGTGTGCAATCAAATAATATTTTCATTGCTATCTTATTGCAGTGACTAAGTGTTATTCTTATAACAGTTAACACTCATTATCTCATTAAATTTTAACATGTTTGAAAAATAATTATCATTTTATTATTAATTTATATTGATTTTAATTTTTAAATATTTAAGTGATATTGTCTGCTTTTGGAAGGTAAATATAATTATAAATAAATGATATCGTTCAAAAAATATTTAATACAGAAAATATAAAATGTTTTTTTTAGAAATGTATGATTTTAAAAAATGTCAAATATATATATATATATTTCTCGATAATGAGTGTTTTACTGTCAAAAGGATCACACATCACAAAATACATATTATAATATAATATCAAACAAATACTGAACTCTTTGCAGCATTCGGTTTTTATCGAACTGTCGACGGAGTACAGCAATAAATACGGTAAATTTAACAGCAATCGGTTTAGAATGGTATATAAATTATCGCCATAAATATCTTTTGAATACTCAACATTCAATAGCGTTATAAATTCTTTTATCAAAAACGTGTTGAGTTGTTGAAACTACGATATGGGTTCCAAATCACAAAATAAAATACATGACCGTTAAAATATACAAACGAATATCATAATAAACAAATAAATCGAAATAATTACAATAGGTCTATAATGTATAATGTCTAATATTGCCCATAAACAATAGTCTAACTGTACGAAATTACCTTGATTTTTGACGATAAATTAACAAACACTTTGTTTGCAATACCTAACATGATACTTTTGAGTGTAAAATTTTCATTGACAGGATTAAATACCACGTCCTCCAACCAATGTGAGATGTGTATGATTTCCGGCCAAACGCATAACATGACTATGTCTTTAAAAGTTTATAACCAAAATAATTATTATTTCAGGATGTTATGTTATTATTACCCAATGCTTGTAGTCATTAGGTTCAGATATGAGAAAATACCCGTAACGATGTCATCGGAATATTCATCTTCGTCGATCAAACAATTGTCCACAATCTCGCCGAGCATGCAGCAAAAATCATTTCTTAATTTCATACTATTCTCGTCGTTTCTCTCTGTTTCGATTTGTATATTGCAAAGTACGGTTCTATATGAAATACGAACTGTAGTCTCAAAAACATTGAACTAAGGCCAGAGATGTAAAGCTGAAAAGTTTCTAAAGTTTTCAAGTGAAACTTTTCATGACGTTTTAAAAGTTTTAAAGGTTTTTGAAATGAAAAGTTTTAAACTTTTCATTACCTGCTGAAGAGTGATGGATATTATTTTTGGAATATTAATTGTATTTTAATAAATAAATCAATAACAGCTAATAAATCACTATTATATAACTTTGTAAGATGGTGAGATGTTAAGTATAATAAACAGTTTTAATTTGGAATACATATACAAATCAAATTAAAGGTCTAAAATTAAAAGTTTAAATTTTTTTTTTGAAAACATCAATTTTACATCTCTGGCTTAGGCCGTGACCTTCAATAATTGGCATTAAACAAAATATCTTATGAACCTACTCCAGAGTTTTGCGAGTAACTCGTGGCGGCTGCAGGATACAGGTTCCATCACCACTTTCACTCGACTGCGTGCTCCACACAGAAAACATCCGATTCAACAACATGATCACAAATTCACATACGGTAAAACGTTCAAATGACACCAATGGCATCCAAAGAAAATTCGGTTTTAACTTGTCGACCAGTATCCGTACCCCGTCGGATTGTATCATGCATATCGCTATAGGTATAGGGAAAGAAAACTATTTAATTTAAAAATGTCAAAAAGATCGTAGTTCTCCGACAAACGACAAATCTGACGGACAGTGTGGAGGTAATGAGAGAGCAAATTAGAGCACAATTAGCGATAATCATTTCTCAATATTATTTGGGTACCATTGGACCGGAACATCATGGACAACCGTCACATCAAAGTTGTCGTTTACAATACTATTTTATAAATAACATTGGAAAAACTAACGAAAAACTGCGGAAATACGGGAAGCAGAAAACGTCTTACGAAACACCAGTTTTCGACGAATTCAACTTTTTTACCACTGTGATTCAGAAAGCAATAATCGTTAGTAGCTAGAGATTTGAAATTTCCGCCCAACACTTGTATCAACAATTTTAAGTCATTATAAATTTCTGATTTCTTTTTAACGTATGTTTACAGAATGTTAGTTTTTTGGTTAAAAGTTGTACGATGTTAATAAATCGTTTTTCATAATTTGTTCTTACATACATTTTATAAATATCAAAAATATACAGAAATAATTTTTTAGAACAGTTTGAGGTTTTAACTTTGACGAGTTTGACAAAATCATAAAAATTAATACAAATTGATATTAACTTCTCGAGTTTTGAAAATTGTTTGTTATAGGTTTCTCATACCTAAGTTAGGTTAGGTACTAAATATTAAAAAATAATTTTGGGTTAATTGTTGATGAAATTGGAAATGACGAAAAATTATAATTTTTCATCAAACGATGTGTGTGATTTAGTTGTAATTTAAAAATATTAACCGTAGACATTTGAACATTTCCATTTTCCACCATTATTTATGTCATCATTTTTTGCCTATTATGAATTTTTTGTAAATATTTATAAGAACCATTGTAAGCTATTTATACAAGGAACGGCAATAACCTATTCACACTATATTGTGTTGTACTTTGAAAATTAGGTCAACTTACAGAAATAAGAAATTACTAATAAAAGTATATAAAGTATCCGGTGACAGTATCAGTATCCGAGTACTGTGCCAACACGATTCGTGGAAAACCCCCGTTAGACCATATCTATCTATTACTAAATTGTTTTTGTCCTAAGTAAAATTTTGTTATCTACTGCAACCAATGTTACAATATTTCCTTTTTTCTAACAAATCCACCTCAATTGTGTCAATGATTTCCAAAATAAATGTATTATATAATATATCTTTTAGGTATACACGTACAGTGGTCTCGGCAAAATGATTAATTTTTCGATCGACAAATACGATAATATTGTAGGTATTCGCAATTTACCCGATTGATCGGACACGGTCGCGACGTTGTACGACAGTTTCAATAAATCGTCGAGAAACGTTTGGCTCGTGACGTTCCCGATGAGTTCCATCAATGTTTTCGGTAAATCGCTCATTCCTACGGCTTCGTGACAACAACTCAAGCTGACCGAGTTTTCCGGCACTCTTTGTCGCCTGAGTATGGACGATTGGAGTACGCCGAACAGAAGAATATTGAGTTCGGCGTGCACGTGGACCAACCAAATGCATTTGGCTTTAAGGCACAGCGGAATCACAACTTATTATTTTATTTTTTCATGAAATTTTCTTATTTCATATTATTCATAAAACTTAAAAGTTATGTATTGGCGCACATCAGGTGTAAAGTTAGGCAGTGCTAAAATGATATTTGATGTTCCTCATACACTCATACGCATAACTTATTACATGATAATTTGAATAAAAATATAGATTTTAATGAATAACTAAGATAGCGAATTAATAATAATATAATAATTATAAATCAATAAAATAAATGAGAAAATAAATTATAACAAAATATAGGACAATAGTATATTTATAGAATTATAGAAGACAATAGTTTGAGATGTTCAATTTGTTACAATATATTAAATAATATGTACATATATTTTTAAAAGGAGGTATCATAAATATAAAAAAAAACTTGGGCGTGTGCCAGTATACACAAAAGAAGTGGATATTTATCTTTGATTGGAATTAAAATATTTTATATAAATATGAAATAATGAATGTATACTTTAATACATGTACACAATATCGAGTATAAATAAAAAAGGTATCCTAATTTTATTTAAGTTTAATGTAAAAACGGGTTTAAAGATCCGCTGTCACCTATTCACTTCAAAAACATTTTTTAATAAAAATGCAATACATAAACCGTGAGTGTTTATCTATTTGAAATCTGGGGGTGCTAAACTCCCTTAATCTTCCCCCCACCCCCTTGTGTGCACCTATGAATATAATATATATATTATACACATTTACGGCACCGTTTGTTGGATGAGTAAACGTATATATTATTAATTAAAATGATTGATGAAATATATTTCAAATCAATTTCGAAAACCAAAAATAATAATTATTGTAATATTATATTATATTATCACCCATTACGTCGTAGAACCGTATTAATATCGGTAAGTTATTCGAACATTCCGTCACAAAGTTTAGAGTCGGAGGCATCAAACACAAGGTCAACATCCCATCGAGATAATGTGTACATTTCGGTTCGGTCGAAAATTTTTCAGCCAAATACTCGATTATGTCGTTCGCATACAACAAATGGTCAAGCGACTTCAGTGTATAAAATATAAACACACAAAATATAATAATTATATACATATACCCGATTCGATATTAAATATTTTGAGCTTAATCATTATTATCTGCTGACAAAACGATTACAACTTTGGTATTATATCAATTGCAGTGTGTGTGGCCAGCCATGGTATCTACTTATATATACTGGTTTTAATTTCTAAACGAAAAAAAAAGAACGGCGTACCGACGTACAGTGGTTGTAGGTAGTAGGACACATAATATTATGTTCATTCCAGATACGGTATATACCAGGTCGGAATTCTGGTA